TGATCAGCAAACCTTTTTCTTTTGCTGGTAAAAGATGGGAGTACTACTGGTTTATTTATCCGACATTTTTACTGGTTCTATGTTTTCATTAATATTCTTTCAGTTACCAAAAGAGAAGGAACAAGCTAGGTTGCTTCCAAAAGAGGTAGATGACATGCAACGCAATCTCGGTCAAACCGACAAACAAATTAACACGGTAAACGAAAGATTACCTCAAGTTGTAGAAAGCTTAGATAAATTACCGCAAGATCTAGCCGAAGCCAAACGTAAATCCGATGCTATTCAATCGAATTTAAAGAAACTAAACCAACAAATCGATTTGGCTAGAGATATAGCTAATAGAATTAAAGTTGGACTTAAATTCTTTACTAATACTACGCTGGAGTTAAGAAATCCAAAGAATCTGGAAGCGCTAAGTACGTCATCTAAATTTTCGGGTTATTTTAAAACCGATCAACCCAAGGGTCTGATATTTTACATTGGAAATCCAAATGCGTCACATATACCTAAACAAAAATCTGTAAGTATGGACTGTAGTCAATTTTTTTTTTATTATTCAATTTTAAACTTATAAATTTTGCCGTTTAGATAGAAATAATTGTCCAAGTTTAAAATTTTATGTCCCCTATGTCCAAAGATCTATTTTTATTTTTCTATTAAAATTTGTATTTTTAGGAAGATTTTATGGCTTTGATAATTCAAAATGGATATCCTGTTCTGAAGTTTAATATAGGCAATGAGAATGAGCAAATAATTAATCCAAAATATGTTGCTGATAATAATTGGTACCAGTATATTATAGAGAGGTAAGTCCTTGTTTTGATTTCTATTTGGAATTATTTCTATTGTTATTTGAGTGAAGTTTTTTTTATTAAAAGTACAAAGGAGTGTCTCAATCTTTGGAAAACTTTAATTAAATTTTTGTGATTAATTAAATTATTTATTGGTTCTTAATTAAACAAGCAGATATCTTTTTTGAATGAAGATTCATAGAGGAACAGAAAAATGTATATTTTACTCTTTATTGGCAATCATACAAAAAACAAAACCATAACAATCTTTAATGAAGTTCTTCCAATACCTCCTCTACTTCATTAAAATCTAAAATCTTCAAATTTCTTCGCGTATTGTATAACTATAACTTGTCCTTTGGTAATCGTTTCGTGAACATATCGGCTAATTGGGTTTTAGACTCGAGATATTTAATGCTGATTTTGTCTTCTTCTATCAGTTCACGAACATAGTAATATTTTACGTCAATATGTTCTGTTCTTTTGTGAAATTCCAGGTTGTTGGCTTATTTTATCGCACTTTTATCGAATTTAATAATGATCGGCGAGTTTTCTGAAGAGTATCCCAATTCTTTAATAAAATTTCGTAACCAAACTGCTTCTCTACAACTGAAAGACAATATTCGCTTCTGTCGTAGAAAACACAACAACCAGGTTATTGGAGAGGTATAATGTATCCAAACCTTGATTTTCTTGTTTCGGAGTCTGCAGCAATGACCAGGAGTATACGAACAGACTCGTACCTAACAACTGGTGCAAAAGTTTCATGAAAGTCTGTGTGAATCCTCGAGCATCTAATCTGGCTATAAAGTTTTCTTTTCATGTTACGTCTGTTAAAATTATATTTGAATCTGTGAGTACCCAAGTTTCATTCCCTTTTAGTGAATCCATTTCATCTTCCATTGCAAGAACGCATTTTTTAGAGTTTTCTGACTGTAGAGCCTCTTCAAATGTAGATGGAATTTCTACTTCCACAGTCATTGCTATGATGTCACTTAATACATCAGACATGTTTTCCAGGATAACCCTCTCAAGTCTTTCAAATGTCTCGGGGGCATTACATAGTTAAAATGGCATGACATTGAAATTCAGATTCGGTGGTAAAAGCTGTCTTTTCTTTGTCTACTGGGTCCATTTCCACCTGCTAGTATCCAGACTTCAAGTTTAAGGTAGAGAATAGTTTACTTCCGGCCAATGTGTCCAAGGTATCGTCGATTCGAGGCAGAGGGTAACTGTCTTTCTTGGTAACATTGTTTAACTGAGAGTAATCCACACAGAACCTCGCAGTTCCATCCTTTTTCTAGACCAGGACTACCGGAGAGACCCATGGGCTGGCAGAAGGTTCCATCACCCTGTCTTCCTTCATTTCCCGAACAATTCTTTCCGCTTCCTCTCTCTTGGCCTTTGGTAATCTTCGAGCTGATTGACGAATTTCCCTGTCGTCACCAATGTCAATTTTGTGTTTTACAACAGAAGTTCTTCCTGTTTTTCCTCCTTTTGGTACAAAAATTTCACGATATAGTCGAAGAAATTCCTTTATTTTCTTTTTCTCTAATTGATTCAGAGATTAACCAGCAACTGTAATAATTTGCTCGAATCTGTCGTTGGAATTATCAGACGAATTATGGAATACAAGTTTAGAATATGGCCTCTTCCTTGATGGCAATTGGGTGATCAATATCGTTTATAACACGAGATGGAATCTCTTTAGCAGTCGTGACCAACCCATTTTCGATCAGAATATCTAGTTCAACCTCTTCATCGTGGTTCCAAGATTCCATCATGATAGGTGTTTTTTCTTCCATTGTTTCTTAAAGCCGTGTTACTACAATCGTTTCACTTCTACCAGGTATCACCGTGTCTTCCTGTACAGCTACTTGCACGGTACTGTCCCCATATGGATGTAGGAATACCTCTTCGTCACTAACTTTGATCACTCTGTTCTTAAAGCGGCTTAATTTGGCTTCTATCTCTGAGATTATATTTTTTAATCTCATCTATCTCTTTATTTTCCGAAAAACTTGGCTCCTCTTCATATGCCTCATTTTAAAAAAAATTCAGATGTACAAAATGTTCTCTATTATCCTCATGTATCTTATTGTCCTCATCGAAAGTTACATTTGCGCTAATTCTTTTTATTATCCCAAAGACGATAATTAGATTCATGTTCGTAGCCAACAAAAATCATTTTACGGCTTCTAGGTTCCCATTTCTTCCTAAGTTCTTTCGGATTATGCATGTATTCTAAGGATCCAAATATTCTTAAATGGTTTATACTGGGTTTTTTCCAAAGGTGTCTTGTTAGGGTCCTTTTAAGAAATAGTCCTATTTACAATATATACAGAGGTATTTACAGCTTCTGCCCAAAATTGTAGAGAAGCATTTTTTGTATATAAAATGGAACAAGCACTTTCCGTTAGAGTTCTTGTATCTCTTTCCGCGGACCCATTTCGTTCATGCGCGTATGGAGCTGAAGTTTCACAGACAATTCCTTGTTGTTTACAAAATGACTGCATTTTGGGATTAACAAATTGTGTACCATTGTCACATCTTAGTATTTTTATAAAATTTCCAGTCAATGCTTCAAAATATTTGAAATTGTCAAATACTTCTGATTTATGACGCATAAAATAAGCCATTCTGTAGCTAAAGGCATCATCTTTAAACAACAAAAAATATTTGGAGCCACTTAGTGATTCAATATTAAATAAACCACAAGCATCTGTATGAATGAATTCACCTGGTTCATAATTGAACGAAACTTCTTAGATTCTGCTTTCCAAGCTGACATCCTTAACAGAATAATTTAGAATCGTCTTCTAAACATGCTCCTTCAGCAGCATACTTTTCAATGGTTTTCTTTACATATTGGGAATTGATGTGTCCTAATCTTTCATGTCATAGTTTTAAACTGTACATATTGGAGATTGAATTGCATTCTATATGTTTAATTTTATTAACATTTTGAACATATTTCCGTTTCGAATTGTAATACAATATAACTCGCCTTTAGAATTATAAAATTCACATCTTTCTTTGTGAGCTGTATATGGTTACAAGTACGGCAACGTCACATTAGCCATAGTGGACAGTAAGCTGTCAGTTGTCAGTAATTCGATTCAGGTTGTATGTTGTTCATGTTTCATCTAGAAGTTGTAGTTAACACACTAGTGCCTTATTTAAAAGCTTGCTGGTATAGCTGCACTTAGGAAATGTCAATGCCTATAACGACCTCTCCAATCCTATTTTCTCAAGGTATTGTAGGATTTGAAGTGGCTTCAAGTTAGGTAAGAAATAAGAGGAGTGCTACACATTCAGTTCCTCCTCACAGAATCTGCACTTACTATCCTCTCTACTCTCAGTTTACTTAGGTATTCTTTTAGTCGGCAATATCCGGTAAGGATCCCTGTTACAATACGTAACCTGTTCTTGCTCAGGCAGATGCAGGCTTCTGATCTTTTCTGGTTATATTCTCTTTTCTGCTGATACCGCAGAACGGCTCAGGTCGTTACCCTGTACCCCGTTATGTCCCGGGATCCAAGCGAGAGTAACTCTATTTTTCTCGCCTAGCTCATTCAATTGTTCTAGCATCTCTAGACCATTTTTGAGCGGATTATGTAAGAGTTCAGCGCTTTGATGGCTGCTTGTCTATCGGACATGATGATAATCATTTGTCTATGATAGTTTCTCTCGATGTTAAACTGGATACACTTCTCGATGTCGTTAATTTCCGCCTGGAAGATGCTTGGATATTCTCCCAAGCTTTCGGAGTGCTTGGTTCTCGGCCCATAGACTCCTATTCCAGTTCCTTCTATGGTTTTGGAACCGTCCGTATACCACTGAATAGCACGTCTTTCGGTTGCAAGCGCGATGGATTCTTGGCTCCATACTTTCTTGCAGCCCAGCTCTGTGGTTTTGAAGTTTTTCAACGTATCAACTATACTGGCACATTTAATTAAAATAACCGAAACCCATTAAATGTGCCACTAATGCTGAAACAAATTGCTGTTACTTCTTAGATGTGTTACTAGTGCCATTTCCAAGAGATTATTTGAGTTAATTTTATGCCAGTACTGTTGGATGAAATGTCATCAAATTTTAAATTGTTTTACGTATTTTAACGTGTTTTGTGATTTTCTTAGATGTGTCACTATTGTCTCTGGTGAGCGAAATCATTTACGTGTAACCACAAGTGCACGAAAATAAAGAATGACGTAAGAGTGTGACTACCACGTGTGAGAGCGGAGGTGGGAAGGACTGGCACAAACAGTTGTTATTTTTGAATTTTCTAAATACTTTTGAGGGTATTTAGACTTTAAAATACGTGGCCACAGAATGGAAAAATGGGGATCATTGGGAACAATACTAAATAATTGCTGTCTCGTCAGAATTAGTGTTGAATCATCTATTACAATTCAAAAAATATGATAAAGAAATGTCTTATCCTAATTATAAAAGTCCAACAAATTATAAAATATAAAATTATATACAGTATGATATGTTTGGATGCATTTTTAGACATTTTTAGACATTTTTAGACATTTTTAGACATTTTTAGACATTTTTAGACATTTTTAGACATTTTTAGATATTTTTAGACATTTTTAGACATTTTTAGACATTTTTAGACATTTTTAGACATTTTTAGACATTTTTAGACATTTTTAGACATTTTTAGACATTTTTAGACATTTTTAGACATTTTTAGACATTAATACATTTCTAGACACCTGTATACATTTCTAGACACTTATAGACGTTTCTAGACGGTTTCTTATTCTTCTTTTTTTTAGTCCTTTTACTTATGACGATCACAGAACACTGTAACGTGTAATTTTAATTTATTTTTAAACTTTTACAATATATAGCTCCCTTCAGCCTTCTCGAACTTTTCAAATATTTCCTGACACGGAATAACATTGTTAGACATTTTGGGTATTTTTAGACATTTTTAGATATTTTTAGACATTTTTAGTCACTTTAAGACATTATTAGACATTTATAGACATTTTAGGATTTTTAGACATTTTCAGACATTTTTCAGACATTTTTCAGACATTTTTCTGACATTTTTAGATATTTTTAGACATTTTTAGACATTTTTAGACATTTTTAGACATTTTTAGACATTTTAAAACATTTTTAGACATTTTTAGACATTTACACATTTCTAGACACCTGTATACATTTCTAGACACTTATAGACATTTCTAGACGGTTCCTTATTCTTCTTTTTTTAGTCCTTTTACTTATGACAATCACAGAACACTGTAACGTATAATTTTAATTTATTTTTAAACTTTTACAATATATAGCCTTCTCGAACTTTTCAAATATTTCCTGACACGGAATAACATTGTTAGACATTTTAGATATTTTTGACATTTTTAGACACCATTATACATTTTTAGTCACTTTTAGACATTATTAGACATTTATAGACATTTTAAAATTTTTAATCATTTTAAGACATTTTTAGACCTTTTAGACATTTTTAGACAGTTTTAGACATTTTTAGACTGTTTTAGACATTGTTGTCTAACAATTTTCTTAGACATTTTAAGACTTTTTCAGACATCTTTAGACATTGTTAAACATTTTTAGTCACTTTTAGACATTTTACGACATTTTTAGACATTTTTAGACAGTTTTAGAAATTTTTATTCATTTTTTGTTATTTTTTAAAAATTTTAGACATTTTAAATAAATTTTAGGCATTTTGAAATATTTTTAAATATTTTGAAACATTTTTAGATATTTTTAGACATTTTTAGACATTTTTAGACATTTTTAGACATTTTTAGACATTTTTAGACATTTTTAGACATTTTTAGACATTTTTAGACATTTTTAGTCACTTTTAGACATTTTTAGACCTTTAAGACATTTTTAGACATTTTTAGACAGTTTTAGACATTTTAGGACTTTTTTAGACATCTTTAGAAATTAATAAACATTTTTAGTCACTTTTAGACATTTTACGACATTTTTAGACCTTTTAGACATTTTTAGATAGTTTTAGAAATTTTTATTCATTTTTTTTTTATTTTTTAAAAATTTTAGACATTTTAAATAAATTTTAGGCATTTTGAAATATTTTTAAATATTTTGAAACATTTTTAGATATTTTAGACATTTTTTTACATTTCTAAACATTTTTAGACATTTTAAAACATTTTTAAACATTTTTGGATATTGTTAGACATTTTTAGTCATTTTTAGAAATGTTTAAACATTTTTAGACATTTTTAGACATTTTTAGACATTTTTATACATTTTTAGACATTTTAGACATTTTTAGACATTTTTAGACATTTTTAGACATTTTTAGACATCTTTAGATATTTTTTGACATTTTTAGACATTTTTAGACATTTTTAGACATTTTTAGACATTTTTAGACCTTTTAGACATTTTTAGACTGTTTTAGAAATTTTTATTCATTTTTTGTTATTTTTAAAAATTTTTAGATATTTTAAATAAATTTTAGGCATTTTGAGATATTTTTAAATATTTTGAAAAAATTTTAGATATTTTAGACATTTTTTACATTTCTAAACATTTTTAGACATTTTAAAACATTTTTAAACATTTTTGGACATTGTTAGACATTTTTAGTCATTTTTAGACATTTTTAAACATTTTTATACATTTTTAGACATTTTTAGATATTTTTAGACATTTTTAGACATTTTTAGACATTTTTAGATATTTTTAGACATTTTTAGACATTTTTAGACATTTTTAGGCATTTTTTTGAAATTTTTAGACCTTTTAGACATTTTTAGATAGTTTTAGACATTTTTAGACAGTTTTAGACAGTTTTAGACATTTTAAGACATTTTTAGCCACATTTAGACATTGTTAAACATGTTTAGTCACTTTTAGACCTTTTTAAACCTTTTAGATTTTTAGTCAGTTTTAGAAATTTTTATTAATTTTTTGTTATTTTTTAAAATTTTTAGACATTTTAAATAAATTTTAGGCATTTTGAAATATTTTTAAATATTTTGAAACATTTTTAGATATTTTAGACATTTTTTTACATTTCTAGACATTTTTAGACATTTTAAAACATTTTTAAATATTTTTGGACATTGTTAGACATCTTTAATCATTTTTAGAAATTTTTAAACATTTTTAAACATTTTTAAACATTTTTAAACATTTTTAAACATTTTTAGACATTTTTATACTTTTAGACATTTTTAGACACTTAGACATTTCTAGACTCTTCCTTATTCTTCTTGTATTAGTCCTTTTACTTGTGACGACGACAGCACACTGTAAGTTTTAATTTCAATTTATTTTTAAACTTTTACAATATATAGCTCCCTTGAACCTTCTCGAACTTTCCAGATGTTTCCTGACACAGAATGACATTGTTAGATATTTTAGACATTTTTAAACATTATTAGACATTTTTACACTAAATACATATAAATAATATATATTTTTACAATTAATAAAATAACATTTAATTTTTTTTTTTTTTAGAGTTGGATTTAATGCAAAACTTTCAATCCGCGAAGAACTACAAGACGGTAACGAATATATAACCCCCGTAGAGAAATCCCTTTCCGGACCGTACACTATATTCAATTTAGATAACAAAAATTCAAAAATATTTGTCGGAAGTATTCCCAACAATTATCAAGTAGCCGAAGGCTTAGATTCTGGTTCATTCGATGGCGAAATGGAAGATCTGGTCATAGGAAACACACCGTTATCCCTCTGGAACTTTAATTACGGTTACGAGAACAATCATGGTGCTTTGGAACGAAACAAATTAGTAAATCTAGCTCCAAGTAACGGTTATAGATTTAACGGAAACGGATACGCAATTTTAGATGCTAGATCGTTACAATTCAGATCTAAATCAACCATACAACTCTATTTCAAAACTTTCGCTAAAACCGGGTTACTATTTTTAGCTGGAAAAGGGAAAACTTTCATTTCCATAGAGATGCAAAATGGAAAAGTTTTGTATCAGTATAATTTAGGTAACGCTACAAAGAAATGGGTTACTAGTAACAATTACAACGATGGTGCATGGCATAAAGTTACCGCAAGTAGAGATGGAGCTAAAGGAAAATTAGTGGTAGATTCCGAAGACGTTATAGACAGAACAGTACCAGTTAGCGGAGTAACTTTAGAATTCATAGATACAATATCATTCGGAGGATATCCTAACAAGCATAACTACGAAGATGTAACTGAAATCAGATTCGATGGTTGCATAACCAACGCGACTATAATGGGTGAAGCTATCGATTTGCGAAACAACATTAAAGCATTCGATGTAGAACCAGGTTGTCCGGATAAATGGTCATCAATGGTATCTTTTATCAAAGATGATAACCATTACGTCGGATGGGATAAGCTAGCTCTAACAAACGAATTTAACATGAGTCTTAAATTCAAAACAAACGATGATGACGGGCTTATTTTTTACATCTCCGATTCTACTCAAGATAACATTATATCTCTATCATTATCAGACGGACATCTTGTTCTAGTAGATCAAAAAATCGAATTAAAATCTAAAGGAATATACAACGATAGCCAATGGCATGTTGTATCGGTGATACATAATGATACATATTTGCGAATGGATATAGATGATATGGAAAACCAAGTAACCGATGCTCAACCTCCGTATATTCACACTCTAGCTGCTAGTTTATATGTAGGAGGTTTACCGAGAAGAATTACAACTAATCCTAATTCTGTCGCCGCGAAAACTTCTTTCTACGGTTGCATTGCCGATCTTACCGTTAACGGTAAAGTGAAGAATTTCGCTAATACCACCGATAGACATTCTGAAATGCTGGATAAATGCATTTTCGATAACGCGCCTGCAGATATCGATCATTCTTTACCGGAATTAACACCTATTGAAACAATAGATTACTATACTACCCCATCGCAAGAAATAACCACGGTGAACGCGGAAGGGGAATTCAATACAGTTCGCGGTGACGGTGGGAACGATTTCAGACGACCAATTAACGAAGTGGATTTCAAACTTCCAGTTACAGAAGTAATCACCACCGAAGTTCCTCCGAGAAGAGTTGGAACTTTACCACCGGTAACTTCCCCGCCACCACCTACCGATAAATGCGCTTTACCCTTAAGCCCGGTGCAAGAGAATGTTCAACAAGTTGGTTACAGATTCGTTAATCAAGATAGTAGATTGGAATGTAATAGTCCTAGAGGGAAGTATAAGAAGAACTTCGATTTCAGATTCCATTTTAAAACGAAAGAAACCGAAGGAATTTTGTTCTATATATCAGACAGCAGCGCTAGAGTTTCAGCGCAGGAGCATAAACATTACGCTGCCGTATATCTATCCGGAGGACAAGTAGTGTTTAGCTTCAGAGGCGACGGTGATGCTTTGATAATCAAATCGAAAGGAATTTACAACGATAGTAAATGGCATTTAGTAGAATTCAACCGCGAACAAGGTAATGGTAAATTAGTAATAGACGATGAAGATATAAGCACCGGCAGCTTGGGTAACAAACCGTTAATGCTCGACTTGCATATACCTTTCTACATCGGTGGGTTGAATCCGGATCACTACAACTCCGTTCAGATGAATCTAAATACAACCGCTTCGTTTTCTGGTTGCATCAAAGATATATCGATGAACAGCAAAGCGTTAGAACCGTCAGCGGAGTACGGAGTGATTCCTTGTTCGGATGATGTTGAAATTGGGACGTTCTTCGGTGGAGAGGCTCATACGTTCATGAAACTTAAAGATAAATACAAAGTGGGAGTGATGTTCAGCATTAAAATGGATATCAAGCCGAGGGTCGATTCGGGTGTTCTGGTTGCAGCTCACGGCAAGAAAGATTATTATGTTTTAGAATTAATTAATGGTACTGTTAGATTGCATGTTGAAAACGGTAAAGGACCTTTTTCGGCTACTTTTGTTCCACCTAATAACAATCCGTTCCATTTATGCGATGGGCAATGGCATAATATACAAGGTAAGATTTTTTTAATATAGTAGAGATATTTACCGGTGGTGAAGCTTTATATTTGAAACATTATCTTATATTTTAACGATTGCATTTAGTTCAGGCTAGGATTTAAATTTTTAGTTTTTGATTTTTTTGAAAAAGTTGTTTATTTTATTGATTTATATACACAGTTAAGAAATAAAGTATCAACTTAAAATTCACCCTGTATATGAACAGAATAAAAACGAATATTTCAGTATATTAAACAGTAGCCATTTTCTTATGACAGACGACAGCTGTCTTCGATGATAATAACTTACATAGATACAGTGTTGTAAAGTATCTTATATTGATACGCTGGTTTGTAATTTCAATTTTATTTTCAAACCTAAACTTTTATATAGCTCCTTTGGACCTTCTTCTAACCTTCCAAATATTTCCTGACACGGAATAATATTTCTAAACATTTTAGACATTTTATAAATTTTTAGACATTTTTTTATATTTTTAGACGTTTTTATACATTTTTAAACTTTATTAGATATGTTTAGATATTTTAAAACATTTTCAGACATTTTAAGAGTTTTAGAATTTTTTAGAAATGAATAGTTTTAAAAATTTTTAGAATTTTTTAGAATTTTTTAGAAATGTATAGAGTTAAATTTTTTTAGATGTTTTTAGAAATTTTTAGAATTTTTTAGAGATTTTTAGATTTTTTTTTTGCATTCTTAGTAATTTTTAGACGTTTTTAAATATATTTAGACATTTTTATCCGTTTTTAGACATTTTTAGAAATTATAGACATTTTAGACCTTTTTTAGACATTTTTAGACCGTTTTATAAATTTTTAAACATTTTTATAAATTGTTGATCATTTTTATAAATTTTTGAACATTTTTGGATATTTTTAGATATTTTTAGACATTTTTAGACATTTTTAGACATTTTTAGACATTTTTAGACATTTTTAGACATTTTTAGACATTTTTAGACATTTTTAGACATTTTTAGTCATTTTCAGACATTTTTAGACATTTTTAGACATTTTTAGACATTTTTAGACATTTTTAGACATTTTTAGAAATTATTAGACATTTTTTTAGAAATTCAAAAAATTCAAAAAAATTCAAAAAAATTCAAAAAAATTTAAAAAAATTCAAAAAAATTCAAAAAAATTCAAAAAAATAAAAAAAAAAAATAAAAAAAAAAATCAAAAAAATTCAAAAAAATTCAAAAAAATTCAAAAAAATTCAAAAAAATTCAAAAAAATTCAAAAAAATTCAAAAAAATTCAAAAAAATTCAAAAAAATTCAAAAAAATTCAAAAAAATTCAAAAAAATTCAAAAAAATTCCAAAAAATTCAAAAAAATTTAAAGAACTTACAAAAAAAATCAAAAAAATAAAAAAAAAATTAAAAAAAAAATTCAAAAAAGTCCAAAAAATAAAAAAAAAGTAAAAAGTCAAAGACAAAAAAGTCAAGTAAAAAAGTCAAAAAAAGTAAAAAGTCAAAATAATCAAAAAAGTAAAGAACAAGTCAAAACAGCCAAAAAAGTTGAAAAAAGTCAAAAAGTAAGAAAAAGTCCAAAAAAAGTAGTCAAAAAAGTAAAGTCAAAAAGTAAAAAAAGTAAAAAAAAAAGTAAAAAAAAGTCAAAAAAAGTCAAAAAAGTCAAAGTCAAAAAAGTCAAAAAAGTCAAAAAAAGTCAAAAAAGTAAAAAAAAGTCAAAAAAGTCAAAAAGTCAAAAAAGTCAAAAAAAGTCAAAAAAAGTCAAAAAAAAGTCAGAAAAGTCAAAAAAAGTCCTTCCTCTCGAATAACTTGATTACTGGGACCTAATAGGAATCAACCGTTAGGATTTGAACCACAGTATGGCGCTAGCTTTTCAATATGAACTACCTTTAGTTTACTTCTCACTGAAAACTAAATGTGATAGATCAGGTTGTTGATTTTTTATAGGACGATGTAGGGACCTTTCCAGTTTCGTTACAGTTTCTGACAAAGTACCGTTCTGCGCTTGGGATTGTTTAGCGATACTAAATTTTTTCTAGTTGACATATATGTCGATTCTAGCTGTTGCTTTGTCTATATCGATTTGTTCGAAAGGTTCTTCAGAAAAGTACTGTGTCATTGTACCTTGGCTTCTTCTTTTAGGCCTTTTTTTGCCATTGCACAAATCACATTTCTTGTACCAATCTTCTATATCCCGTCAGTAATTTTTCTGGATCTCGTATCAGTGTCCTTTTAGTCCCAAAATGTCTTCTTGAACGGCTGCTATGAAGTTTCTTCAATACACTCTTAACATGTGATTTTGGTAGTCACAATAATTGGCGGACTATATGTATTCCATTAGGGCTTTCTTTCTTTCGGTGAATTAGGCCATCGAGAAAATAAAGTGAATCTCACTGAGTCCAGTACTCTTTAATAGTTCCACTATGTCTGGCTATCTCTTACCAATTATGAGTCATTCTCGGATAACCTTCAAATTATTGTCTTCCTTCTAAGTTTTTCTCAGGATTCAAAGAGTGATTCCATCTTCGTCATCCTCTAAATTGAAGACTAAATTCTTCAACTGGCTGCACTCGTTGTTCTAACCTTTTACAGTACCGGTATTGTAATTCTCAACAGAGTCGCCTGAAGGAAAGAATTTCTAATGGAAAAACGATATTGATATTGATCTTGGTTCAGATGAACCAAAGTCTAAACTGTGATAGAAAAACTGGTCTTTGATCTCCTATAGACTATACAGAAACGATTTTTTCTTAGTTACTAGGATTACAGGTGAGCAGAAGGAACTAGAAGATTCTTTAATAATATTTGTGTCTATCATGTCATGTATCATATTGATTACTTCTTAAATTATCTTACTGCTTTTCTAAATAACTTTTTAAATTCTTTTGCTGTTTCGCTGACTTGGTTTTTAAGTTCTCTTGCTATTGTGCTCGAATATTAAGCTAAAGTTTTCTTGAATTTGTAGCAAAACATTCATAACTTCCACCTCTACTCCTTTTCTGCTTCCTCCTCCTTTCTGTGCCTTTCCTTCTACTATTCTTCCTCCTTTCTGTGACTTTATATATAAAAGTTTGGCACACCTTGAGTAAATTATTAATTGATTTTGTCACATCGACAACCTTCTTATTCTTAAATTATTTATCTTTTAGCTGTAAAATCGAAGAATGTTGTAACATTATCAGTGGACAATCTATACACAGATCCAAGAATAGGACCGCATTCAGTATCTACGGATACCGGTAGTGCTTTATTTTTAGGTGGTCACCGATTTATTAAAAAAGTTCGAGGTATTCATTCAAGAACTCCGTATGTTGGGTGTATCAAAAACGTTGAGATAAACAATGAACCATTAGAGTTGACTTCTAATATGGTTAACGGAAATGTTATCATCGGATTTTGTCCTACTAATTAAAATTATTTTTAAGAAAAGTAAATAATAAATATATTCCTTACTATAGAGATTTTTATTATACCTTTTAGTTTCATTGATGTTCTAATTGAAATATAGATATTTAAAAAATTCTATTGCTTGTATATTATTTTCAATAATACTAATTGTTAATACATTAATCATCCTATTTATATAAGAAGTTTTGTCAAAATTTACAATTACTTCGTTATAGTAAATAGGACAAATTTACAACGATAGTCAGTGGTATGTTGTATCAGTAATACATAATGATACATACAGTATTGCCCAAAATAAACAGTACTGAAACTAAGTTGGTGGTATCTCTTTGCGCCAGCTGTCATACCCAAGGTAGCTAGTATAGACCTGTCAAGTAAACCTTAAATAATAAACTAGTAGGGCCTAATTGTTAAAAATGGTGTTAAGTACAGAGGAGAAAATGTTTTTGGTACAATATTATTTTCGCTCATACGGAATCGGCCGATTTAAGGGTGCAAGTCGGCGATACATGTGCGACCAATTTACACAAGATTTAATAAACATTCCCGAAAGTCAGCCAGAGAAGGGCAACGTTACGACTTGGTATACAAAGAACATTCTTGCAAAGAATCCTGAAGGATCTGTGAGCATTTTCTTATGTGATTCAGGTACATCAACAATTATACCCTCGGAATTATCGCAGTAGAGAGGAATATTGCGTTAGAATTCTCGCAATACAGTATGAAAATTCTGAGTTTTTGAAAAATTTATGATTTTCAGACGAAGTACATTTTTATTTGTCATGTGAATCGCCGCACAAATCGATTTCTGAATTAAAATGACAAAAACATATCTTTTTTAAATATATTAAAAAATAACATATTTAGTACTGTTCATTTCGGGTAATACTGTATTTACGAATGTATATAGATGATATGGAAAACCAAGTAACTCACACTCAACCTCCGTATATCCACACTTTAGCCGGTAGTCTATATGTAGGAGATTTACCGAGAAGAATTACAACCAGTCCTAACTCTGTCGCCGCGAAAACTTCTTTCTACGGTTGCATTGCCGATCTTACCGTTAACGGTAAAGTGAAGAATTTCGCTAATACCACCGATAGACATTCTGAAATGCTGGATAAATGCATTTTCGATAACGCGCCTGCAGATATCGATCATTCTTTACCGGAATTAACACCTATTGAAACAATAGATTACTACACTACCCCATCGCAAGAAATAACTACGTTGAACGCGGAAGGGGAATTAAATACAGTTCGCGGTGACGGTGGGAACGATTTCAGACGGCCAATTAACGAAGTGGATTTCACACTTCCAGTTACAGAAGTAATCACCACCGAAGTTCCTCCGAGAAGAGTTGGAACTTTACCACCGGTAACTTCCCCGCCACCACCTACCGATAAATGCGCTTTACCCTTAAGCCCGGTGCAAGAGAATGTTCAACAAGTTGGTTACAGATTCGTTAATCAAGATAGTAGATTAGAATGTAATAGTCCTAGAGGGAAGTATAAGAAGAACTTCGATTTCAGATTCCATTTTAAAACGAAAGAAACCGAAGGAATTTTGTTCTATATATCAGACAGCAGCGCTAGAGTTTCAGCGCAAGAGCATAAACATTACGCTGCCGTATATCTATCCGGAGGACAAGTAGTGTTTAGCTTCAGAGGCGACGGTGATGCTTTGATAATCAAATCGAAAGGAATTTACAACGATAGCAAATGGCATTTAGTAGAATTCAACCGCGAACAAGGTAATGGCAAATTAGTAATAGACGATGAAGATATAAGCACCGGCAGCTTGGGTAACAAACCGTTAATGCTCGACTTGCATATACCTTTCTACATCGGTGGGTTGAATCCGGATCACTACAACTCCGTTCAGATGAACCTCAATACAACCGCTTCGTTTTCTGGGTGCATCAAAGATATATCGATGAACAGCAAAGCGTTAGAACCGTCAGCGGAGTACGGAGTGATTCCTTGTTCGGATGATGTTGAAATTGGGACGTTCTTCGGTGGAGAGGCTCATACGTTCATGAAACTTAAGGATAAATACAAAGTAGGAGTGATGTTCAGCATTAAAATGGATATCAAGCCGAGGGTCGATTCGGGTGTTCTGGTTGCAGCTCACGGCAAGAAAGATTATTATGTTTTAGAATTGATTAATGGTACTGTTAGATTGCATGTTGAAAACGGTAAAGGACCATTTTCGGCTACTTTCGTTCCACCTAATAACAATCCGTTCCATTTATGCGATGGGCAATGGCATAATATACAAGGTAAGCTTTTTTTAATATAGTAGTGATATTTACCGGTGGCGAAGCGTTTTAGATATTTTTAGACATTTTTAGACATTTTTAGACATTTTTAGACATTTTTAGATATTTTTAGACATTTTTAGACATTTTTAGACATTTTTAGACATTTTTAGATATTTTAAGACATTTTTAGACATTTTTAGACATTTTTAGACATTTTTAGACATTTTTAGACATTTTTAGACATTTTTAGACATTTTTAGACATTTTTAGACATTTTTAGACATTTTTAGACAGTTTTAGACATTTTTAGACATTTTTAGACATTTTTAGACATTTTTAAACATTTTTAAATATACAAAAACCCTCTCATAATTCAAAAAAATTCAAAAAATTCAAAAAAATTCAAAAAAATTAAAAAAAATTCAAAAAAATTCAAAAAAATTTAAAAAAATTCAAAAAAATTCAAAAAATTTAAAAAAATTAAAAAAAAAATAAAAAAAATAAAAAAAAAATAAAAAAAAATAAAAAAAAAATTCAAAAAATTTAAAAAAGTCAAAAAAGTCCAAAAAAGTAAAAAGTCAAAGACAAAAAGTCAAAAAAGTCAAAAAGGTCAAAAACAAGTAAAAAACAAGTCAAAAAGGTTCAAAAAAGTAAGAAAAGTCAAAAAAGTAAGAAAAAGCCAAAAATGTCCAAAAAAGTAAAGTCAAAAAAATCAGAAAAGTCAAAAAAGCCAAAAAAGTAAAAAAAGTCAAAAAAGTAAAAAAAAAGTCAAAAAAAGCCAAAAAAGTAAAAAGTCAAAAAAGTCAAAAAAGTCAAAAAAGTCAAAAAAGTCAAAAAAGTCAAAAAAGTCAAAAAAGTCAAAAAAGTCAAAAAAGTAAAAAAAGTAAAAAAAGTAAAAAAAGTCAAAAAATTCAAAAAAGTCAAAAAAGTCAAAAAAAGTCAAAAAAGTCAAAAAAAAGTCAAAAAAGTCAAAAAAGTCAAAAAAGTCAAAAAAGTCAAAAAAGTCAAAAAAGTCAAAAAAGTCAAAAAAGTCAAAAAAGTCAAAAAAGTCAAAAAAGTCAAAAAAGTTAAAAAAGTTAAAAAAGTTAAAAAAGTCAAAAAAGTCAAAAAAGTCAAAAAAGTCAAAAAAGTCAAAAAAGTCAAAAAAGTCAAAAAAGTCAAAAAAGTCAAAAAAGTCAAAAAAGTAAAAAAGTCAAAAAAGTCAAAAAATGTCAAAAAGTCTAAGTCTAAATGTGGTAAATCGGGTTGTTGATTTTTTTTGAGGACGTAGGGACCTTCTCAGTTTTGTTTCAGTTTCTGACAAAGTCCCTATCAGCGCTTGGGATTGTACAGCGATACTAAATTTTTTCTAATTGACATGTATGTCGAATCTAGCTTTTGCTTTGTCTATAGCGATTTGTTCGAAAGATTCTTCAGAAAAATACTGTGCCATTGTACCTCGGCTTCTTTTTTTAGGTCTTTTTTTGTCATTGCATAAATCATATTTCTTGCACCAACCTTCTATATCCCGTCAGTAATTTTTCTCGATCTCGTGTCAGTGTCCTTTTAGTCCCAAAATGTCTTCCTGAATAACTGCTATGAAGTTTTTTCAAAACACTTTGACATGTGATTTCGGTAGTAACAATAATTAGCGAACTATATGTACTCCATCGGGGCTATGTCTCTTTCGGTGAAATAGGCCATCGAGAAGATACAGTGAATCCCATTGAGTCCAGTAACCTTTAATAGTTCCACTATGTTTGGCTATTTCTTGCCAATTATGAGTCCTTCAAATTATTGTCTTTCTTTCAAGTTTTTCTCAGGCTTCCAAGAGTGATTCCCATATTCGTCATCCTCTAAATTAAAGACTAACTTCTTCAACTGGCTCCACTCGTTCTTCGAACCTTTTACAGTACCGGTATTGTCATTCTCAACAGAGTCGCCTGGAGGAAAGAATTTCTGATGGAAGAACGATATTGATATTGATCTTGGTTCAGATGAACGGAAGTCTAAACTGTGATAGAAAAACTGGTCTTTGATCTCCTATAGACTATACAGAAATGATTTTTTCTTAGTTACTAGGATTACAGGTAAGCAGAAGGAACTAGAAGATTCTTCAATAATATTTGTGTCTATCATATTTATTACTTCTTAAATTATCTTACTGCTTTTCTAAATAACTTTTTAAATTCTTTTGCTGTTTTTCTGACTTGGTTTTTAAGTTCTCTTCCTGTTGTGCTCGAATATTAAGCTGAAGTTTTCTTGAATTTGTAGCAAAACATTCATAACTTCCACCTCTACTCCTTTTCTGCTTCCTCCTCCTTTTTGCGCCTTTCCTTCTACTATTCTTCCTCCTTTCTGTGACTTTATATATAAAAGTTTGGCACACCTTGAGTAAATTATTAATTGATTTTGTCACATCGACAACCTTCTTATTCTTAAATTATTTATCTTTTAGCTGTGAAATCGAAGAACGTTGTAACATTATCAGTGGACAATCTATACACAGATCCAAGAATAGGACCGTATCAGTGGACAATCTATACACAGATCCAAGAATAGGACCGCATTCAGTGTCTACGGATACCGGTAGTGCATTATTTTTAGGTGGTCATCGATTTATAAAAAAAGTTCGAGGTATTCATTCTAGAACTCCGTATGTTGGGTGTATCAAAAACGTTGAGATAAACAATGAACCATTAGAGTTGACTTCTAATATGGTTAACGGAAATGTTATCATCGGATTTTGTCCTACTAATTAAAATTATTTTTAAGAAAAATAAAATAATAAATATATTCCTTACTATAGAGATTTTTATTATACCTTTTAGTTTTATTGATGTTCTAATTAAAATATAGATATATAAAAATTTTTTATTGCTTGTTTATTATTTTCAGTAATACTAATTGTTAATACATTAATCATCCTATTTATATAAGAAGTTTTGTCATAAAATTTACAATTACTTCGTTATAGTAAATAGGACAAATTTACAACGATAGTCAGTGGTATGTTGTATCAGTAATACATAATGATACATACAGTATTTCCCAAAATAAACAGTACTGAAACTAAGTTGGTGGTATCTCTTTGCGCCAGCTGTCATTACCCAAGGTAGCTAGTATAGACCTGTCAAGTAAACCATAAATAATAAACTAGTAGGGCATAATTGTTAAAAATGGTGTTAAGTACAGAGGAGAAAATGTTTTTGGTACAATATTATTTTCACTCATACGGAATCGGCCGATTTAAGGGTGCAAGTCGGCGATACATGTGCGACCAATTTACACAAGATTTAATAAACATTCCCGAAAGTCAGCCAGAGAAGGGCAACGTTACGACTTGGTATATAAAGAACATTCTTGCAAAGAATCCTGAAGGATCTGTGAGCATTTCCTTATGTGATTCAGGTACATCAACAATTATACCCTCGGAATTATCGCAGGAGAGAGGAATATTGCGTCAGAATTTTCGCAAATTCTGAGTTTTTGAAAAATTTATCGATTTTCAGACGAAGCACATTTTTATTTGTCATGTGAATCGCCGCACAAATCGATTTCTGAATTAAAATGACAAAAACATATCTTTTTTAAATATATTAAAAAATAAACATATTTAGTACTGTTCATTTCGGGTAATACTGTATTTACGAATGTATATAGATGATATGGAAAACCAAGTAACTCACACTCAACCTCCGTATATCCACACTTTAGCCGGTAGTTTATGTGTAGGAGATTTACCGAGAAGAATTACAACCAGTCCTAACTCTGTCGCAGCGAAAACTTCTTTTCTCCGGTTGCATTGCCGATCTTACCGTTAACGGTAAAGTGAAGAATTTCGCTAATACCACCGATAGACATTCTGAAATGTTAGATAAATGCATTTTCGATAACGCACCTGCAGATATCGATCATTCTTTACCGGAATTAACACCTATTGAAACAATAGATTACTACACTACCCCATCGCAAGAAATAACCACGGTGAACGCGGAAGGGGAATTAAATACAGTTCGCGGTGACGGTGGGAACGAGTGACGGCGGAAACGATTTCAGACCAATAGAACCTCCAGTTACAGAAGTAATCACCACCGAAGTTCCTCCGAGAAGAGTTGGTACTTTACCACCGGTAACTTCCCCGCCACCACCTACCGATAAATGCGCTTTACCCTTAAGCCCGGTGCAGGAGAATGTTCAACAAGTTGGTTACAGATTCGTTAATCAAGATAGTAGATTGGAATGTAATTCTCCTAGAGGGAAGTATAAGAAGAATTTCGATTTCAGATTCCATTTCAAAACGAAAGAAACCGAAGGTATTTTGTTCTATATATCAGATAGTAGCGCTAGAGCTTCAACGCAGGAACATAAGCATTACGCTGCCGTATATCTATCCGGAGGACAAGTCGTGTTTAGTTTCAGAGGCGACGGTGATGCTTTGGTAATCAAATCGAAAGGAATTTACAACGATAGCAAATGGCATTTAGTAGAATTCAACCGCGAACAAGGTAATGGCAAATTAGTAATAGACGATGAAGATATAAGCACCGGCAGCTTGGGTAACAAACCGTTAATGCTCGACTTGCATATACCTTTCTACATCGGTGGGTTGAATCCGGATCACTACAACTCAGTTCAGATGAACCTCAATACAACCGCTTCGTTTTCTGGGTGCATCAAAGATATATCGATGAACAGCAAAGCGTTAGAACCGTCAGCGGAGTACGGAGTGATTCCTTGTTCGGATGATGTTGAAATTGGGACGTTCTTCGGTGGAGAGGCCCATACGTTCATGAAACTTAAAGATAAATACAAAGTGGGAGTGATGTTCAGCATTAAAATGGATATCAAGCCGAGGGTCGATTCGGGTGTTCTGGTTGCAGCTCACGGCAAGAAAGATTATTATGTTTTAGAATTAATTAATGGTACTGTTAGATTGCATGTTGAAAACGGTAAAGGACCTTTTTCGGCTACTTTTGTTCCACCTAATAACAATCCGTTCCATTTATGCGATGGGCAATGGCATAATATACAAGGTAAGATTTTTTTAATATAGTAGAGATATTTACCGGTGGTGAAGCTTTATATTTGAAACATTATCTTATATTTTAACGATTGCATTTAGTTCAGGCTAGGATTTAAATTTTTAGTTTTTGATTTTTTTGAAAAAGTTGTTTATTTTATTGATTTATATACACAGTTAAGAAATAAAGTATCAACTTAAAATTCACCCTGTATATGAACAGAATAAAAACGAATGTTTCAGTATATTAAACAGTAGCCATTTTCTTATGACAGACGACAGCTGTCTTCGATGATAAGATAATAACTTACATAGATACAGTGTTGTAAAGTATATTATATTCATACGCTGGTTTGTAATTTCAATTTTATGTTCAAACCTAAACTTTTATATAGCTCCTTTGGACCTTCTTCTAACCTTCCAAATATTTCCTGACACGGAATAATATTTTTAAACATTTTAGACATTTTAGACATTTTAGACATTTTAGACATTTTAGACATTTTATAAATTTTTAGACATTTTAGACATTTTAGACATTTTATAAATTTTTAGACATTTTTTTATATTTTTAGACGTTTTCAGACATTTTATACATTTTTAAACTTTGTTAGATATGTTTAGATATGTTTGTTTAGATATTTTAAAACATTTTTAGACATTTTAAGAGAGTTTCAGAATTTTTTAGAAATGAATAGTTTTAAAAATTTTTAGAATTTTTTAGAAATGTTTTAAAGAGTTAAATTTTTTTAGATGTTTTTAGAAATTTTTAGAATTTTTTAGAGATTTTTAGATTTTTTTTTGCATTCTTACTAATTTTTAGACGTTTTTAAATATATTTAGACATTTTAAGATATTTTTAGACATTTTTATCCATTTTTAGAAATTATAGACATTTTAGACCTTTTTTAGACATTTTTAGACCGTTTTATAAATTTTTAAACATTTTTATAAATTGTTGATCATTTTTATAAATTTTTGAACATTTTTGGACATTTTTAGACATTTTTAGACATTTTTAGACATTTTTAGACATTTTTAGACATTTTTAGACATTTTTAGACATTTTTAGACATTTTTAGACATTTTTAGACATTTTTAGACATTTTTAGACATTTTTAGACATTTTTAGACATTTTTAGACATTTTTAGACATTTTTAGACATTTTTAGAAATTATTAGACATTTTTTTAGAAATTCAAAAAAATTCAAAAAAATTCAAAAAAATTCAAAAAAATTCAAAAAAATTCAAAAAAATTCAAAAAAATTCAAAAAAAATTCAAAAAAATTCAAAAAAATTCAAAAAAATTCAAAAAAAATTCAAAAAAATTCAAAAAATTCAAAGAAATTACAAAAAAAAAATCAAAAAAATAAAAAAAAAATCCAAAAAAATTCAAAAAATTCAAAAAAGTCAAAAAGTCCAAAAAATCAAAAAAAGTAAAAAGTCAAAGACAAAAAAGTCAAGTAAAAAAAAAGTCAAGTAAAAAAAAGTCAAAAAAAGTAAAAAGTCAAAGACAAAAAAGTCAAGTAAAAAAAAGTCAAGTAAAGAAAAGTCAAAAAAAGTAAAAAGTACAAATAATCAAAAAAGTAAAAAACAAGTCAAAACAGCCAAAAAAGTAGTCAAAAAAGTCAAAAAGCAAAAAAAGTAAAAAAAAGTAAAAAAAGTCAAAAAAGTCAAAAAAAGTAAAAAAAAGTCAAAAAAGTCAAAAAGTCAAAAAAGTCAAAAAAAGTCAAAAAAGTCAAAAGTCAAAAAAAGTCAAAAAAGTCAAAAAAGTCAAAAAAGTCAAAAAAGTCAAAAAAGTCAAAAAAGTCAAAAAAGTCAAAAAAGTCAAAAAAGTCAAAAAAGTCAAAAAAGTCAAAAAAGTCAAAAAAGTCAAAAAAGTCAAAAAAGTCAAAAAAGTCAAAAAAGTCAAAAAAGTCAAAAAAGTCAAAAAAGTCAGAAAAGTCAGAAAAGTCAAAAAAAGTACTTCCTCTCGAATAACTTGATTACTGGGACCTAATAGGAATCAACCGTTAGGATTTGAACCACAGTATGGCGCTAGCTTTTCAATATGAACTACCTTTAGTTTACTTCTCACTGAAAACTAAATGCGATAAATCAGGTTGTTGATTTTTTATAGGACGATGTAGGGACCTTTCCAGTTTCGTTACAGTTTCTGACAAAGTACCGTTCTGCGCTTGGGATTGTTTAGCGATACTAAATTTTTTCTAGTTGACATATATGTCGATTCTAGCTGTTGCTTTGTCTATATCGATTTGTTCGAAAGATTCTTCAGAAAAGTACTGTGTCATTGTACCTTGGCTTCTTCTTTTAGGCCTTTTTCTGCCATTGCACAAATCACATTTCTTGTACCAATCTTCTATATCCCGTCAGTAATTTTTCTGGATCTCGTATCAGTGTCCTTTTAGTCCCAAAATGTCTTCTTGAACGGCTGCTATGAAGTTTCTTCAATACACTCTTAACATGTGATTTTGGTAGTCACAATAATTGGCGGACTATATGTATTCCATTAGGGCTTTCTCTCTTTCGGTGAATTAGGCCATCGAGAAGATAAAGTGAATCTCACTGAGTCCAGTACTCTTTAATAGTTCCACTATGTCTGGCTATCTCTTACCAATTATGAGTCATTCTCGGATAACCTTCAAATTATTGTCTTCCTTCTAAGTTTTTCTCAGGATTCAAAGAGTGATTCCATCTTCGTCATCCTCTAAATTGAAGACTAACTTCTTCAACTGGCTGCACTCGTTGTTCTAACCTTTTACAGTACCGGTATTGTAATTCTCAACAGAGTCGCCTGGAGGAAAGAATTTTTGATGGAAAAACGATATTGATATTGATATTGGTTCAGGTGAACGAAAGTTTTAACTGTGATAGAATAACTGGCCTTTGATCTCCTATAGACTTAACAGAAACGATTTTTTCTTAGTTACTAGGATCACAGGTGAGCACAAGGAACTAGAAGAATCTTCAATAATATTTCCATCTATCATGCTATGTATCCTATTTACTAGTTTTGAAATTATCTTACTGCTTTTCTAAACAACTTTTTAAATTCGTTTGCTGTTTCTCTGACTTGGTTTTTAAGTTCTCTTGCTGTTGTGCTCGAATATTAAGCTTAAGTTTTTTTGAATTTGTAGCAAAACATTTATAACTTCCACCTCTACTCCTTTTTTTCTTCCTCCTCCTTTCTGCACCTTTCCTTCTACTATTCTTCCTCCTTTTTGTAACTTTATATATAAAAGTTTGAAACACCTTGAGTAAATTACTAATTGATTTTGCCACATCGACAACCTTCTTACTCTTAAATTATTTATCTTTTAGCTGTGAAATCGAAGAACGTTGTAACATTATCAGTGGACAATCTATACACAGATCCAAGAATAGGACCGCATTCAGTATCTACGGATACCGGTAGTGCATTATTTTTAGGTGGTCATCGATTTATAAAAAAAGTTCGAGGTATTCATTCTAGAACTCCGTATGTTGGGTGTATCAAAAATGTTGAGATAAATAATGAACCATTGGAGTTGACTTCTAATATGGTTAACGGAAATGTTATCATCGGATTTTGTCCTACTAATTAAAATTATTTTTAAGAAAAATAAATAATAAATATATTCCTTACTATAGAGATTTTTATTATACCTTTTAGTGTCATTGATGTTCTAATTGAAATATATATATAAAAAAAATTATATTGCTTATTTATTATTTTCAGTAATACTAATTTTTAATACATTAATCATCCTATTCATATTGGAAGTTTTGTCATAAAATTTACAATTACTTCGATATAGTAAATAGGACAAATTTACAACGATAGTCAGTGGTATGTTGTATCAGTAATACATAATGATACATACAGTATTGCCCAAAATAAACAGTACTGAAACTAAGTTGGTGGTATCTCTTTGCGCCAGCTGTCATACCCAAGGTAGCTAGTATAGACCTGCCAAGTAAACCTTAAATAATAAACTAGTAGGGCCTAATTGTTAAAAATGGTGTTAAGTACAGAGGCGAAAATGTTTTTGGTACAATATTATTTTCACTCATACGGAATCGGCCGATTTAAGGGTGCAAGTCGGCGATACATGTGCGACCAATTTACACAAGATTTAATAAACATCCCCGAAAGTCAGCCAGAGAAGGGCAACGTTACGACTTGGTATATAAAGAACATTCTTGCAAAGAATCCTGAAGGATCTGTGAGCATTTTCTTATGTGATTCAGGTACATCAACAATTATACCCTCGGAATTATCGCAGGAGAGAGGAATATTGCGTCAGAATTTTCGCAAATTCTGAGTTTTTGAAAAATTTATGATTTTCAGACGAAGCACATTTTTATTTGTCATGTGAATCGCCGCACAAATCGATTTCTGAATTAAAATGACAAAAACATATCTTTTTTAAATATATTAAAAAATAACATATTTAGTACTGTTCATTTCGGGTAATACTGTATTTACGAATGTATATAGATGATATGGAAAACCAAGTAACTCACACTCAACCTCCGTATATCCACACTTTAGCCGGTAGTTTATGTGTAGGAGATTTACCGAGAAGAATTACAACCAGTCCTAACTCTGTCGCCGCGAAAACTTCTTTCTACGGTTGCATTGCCGATCTTACCGTTAACGGGAAAGTGAAAAATTTCGCTAACACCACCGATAGACATTCCGAAATGCTGGATAAATGCATTTTCGATAACGCACCTGCAGATATCGATCATTCTTTACCGGAATTACCACCTATTGAAACAATAGATTACTATACTACCCCATCGCAAGAAATAACTACGTTGAACGCGGAAGGGGAATTAAATACAGTTCGCGGTGACGGCGGAAACGATTTCAGACGACCAATTAACGAAGTGGATTTCGAACCACCAGTTACAGAAGTAATCCCACCGAAGTTCCTCCGAGAAGAGTTGGTACTTTACCACCGGTAACTTCCCCGCCACCACCTACCGATAAATGCGCTTTACCCTTAAGCCCGGTGCAAGAGAATGTTCAACAAGTTGGTTACAGATTCGTTAATCAAGATAGTAGATTAGAATGTAATACTCCTAGAGGGAAGTATAAGAAGAACTTCGATTTCAGATTCCATTTTAAAACGAAAGAAACCGAAGGTATTTTGTTCTATATATCAGATAGCAGCGCTAGAGCTTTAGCGCAGGAGCATAAACATTACGCTGCCGTATATCTCTCCGGAGGACAAGTAGTGTTTAGCTTCAGAGGCGACGGTGACGCTTTGATAATCAAATCAAAAGGAATTTACAACGATAGCAAATGGCATTTAGTAGAATTCAACCGCGAACAAGGTAATGGCAAATTAGTGATAGACGATGAAGATATAAGCACCGGCAGCTTGGGTAACAAACCGTTAATGCTCGACTTGCATATGCCTTTCTACATCGGTGGGTTGAATCCGGATCACTACAACTCCGTTCAGATGAACCTCAATACAACGGCTTCGTTTTCTGGGTGCATCAAAGATATATCGATGAACAGCAAAGCGTTAGAACCGTCAGCGGAGTACGGAGTGATTCCTTGTTCGGATGATGTTGAAATTGGGACGTTCTTCGGTGGAGAGGCTCATACGTTCATGAAACTTAAAGATAAATACAAAGTGGGAGTGATGTTCAGCATTAAAATGGATATCAAGCCGAGGGGCGATTCGGGTGTTCTGGTTGCAGCTCACGGCAAGAAAGATTATTACGTTTTAGAATTGATTAATGGTACTGTTAGATTGCATGTTGAAAACGGTAAAGGACCATTTTCGGCTACTTTCGTTCCACCTAATAACAATCCGTTCCATTTATGCGATGGGTAATGGCATAATATACAAGGTAAGCTTTTTTTAATGTAGTAGATATTCTACCGGTGGCCAGCTTTATATTTAAATCATCTTATATTTTAATGATTGGATTTAGTTCAGGCTCGGATTTAAATTTTTAAAATTTTGTATCTTTTATTTTTGATTTTTTTGAAAAAGGTATTTGAAAAAGTTGTTTATTTTAATGATTTATATACACAGTTAAAAAATAAAGTATCAACTTAAAATTTACCCTGTATATGAACAAAATAATAACGAATAAATAGACATATCAAACAGTAGCCATTTTTTTATAATGTAAAAACGATAGCTATCCTCGATGATAATGACTTGTACATAAATACAATGTTGCCAATTATATTATACTGTTACGTTGGTTTATTTTACATTTTTAGACGTTTTTACACATTTTTAGACATTTTTAGACATTTTTAGACATTTTTAGACGTTTTTAGACGTTTTTAGACGTTTTTAGACGTTTTTAGACGTTTTTAGACGTTTTTAGACATTTTTAGACATTTTTAGACATTTTTAGACATTTTTAGACATTTTTAGACATTTTTAGACATTTCTAGAATTTTGAAATATTTTTAGACATATTTAGATATTTTGAGAAATTTTTAGACAGTTTTAGACATTTTTAGAAATTTGTAGAAATTTTTAGACATATTTGGACATTTTTAGACAATATTAGACATTTATACATTTCTAGACATCTGTACACATTTTTAGACACTAAGACATTTCTAGACACTTCTAGATATTTCTATACTATTCCTTATTTTTCTTTTATCAGTCCTTTTACTTATGACAACACAGAACACTGTAATGTCGTGGATGACATGACACTTCTTCTTAATTATATTGATGCGTTAGTTTTTAATTTAAATTTATTTTCAAACTTTTATAATATATAGTCCCTTGAACCGTATCAAATTTCCATAATGTTTCCTGGCACGGAATGACATTTTTAGACATTTTTAGACATTTTTAGACATTTTAAGACATTTTTAGACATTTTTAGACATTTTTAGACATTTTTAGACATTTTTAGACATTTTTAGACATTTTTAGACATTTTTAGACATTTTTTAGACATTTTTAGACATTTTTAGACATTTTTAGACATTTTTAGACATCTGTACACATTTTTAGACACTAAGACATTTCTAGACACTTCTAGATATTTCTATACTATTCCTTATTTTTCTTTTATCAGTCCTTTTACTTATGACAACACAGAACACTGTAATGTCGTGGATGACATGACACTTCTTCTTAATTATATTGATGCGTTAGTTTTTAATTTAAATTTATTTTCAAACTTTTATAATATATAGTCCCTTGAACCGTATCAAATTTCCATAATGTTTCCTGGCACGGAATGACATTTTTAGACATTTTTAGACATTTTTAGACATTTTAAGACATTTTTAGACATTTTTAGACATTTTTAGACATTTTTAGACATTTTTAGACATTTTTAGACATTTTTAGACATTTTTAGACATTTTTTAGACATTTTTAGACATTTTTAGACATTTTTAGACATTTTTAGACATCTGTACACATTTTTAGACACTAAGACATTTCTAGACACTTCTAGATATTTCTATACTATTCCTTATTTTTCTTTTATTAGTCCTTTTACTTATGACAACACAGAACACTGTAATGTCGTGGATGACATGACACTTCTTCTTAATTATATTGATGCGTTAGTTTTTAATTTAAATTTATTTTCAAACTTTTATAATATATAGTCCCTTGAACCGTATCAAACTTCCATAATGTTTCCTGGCACGGAATGACATTTTTAGACATTTTTAGACATTTTTAGACATTTTTAGACATTTTTAGACATTTTTAGACATTTTTAGACATTTTTAGACATTTTAAGACATTTTTAGACATTTTTAGACATTTTTAGACATTTTAAGACATTTTTAGACATTTTTAGACATTTTCAGACATTTTTAGACATTTTTAGACATTTTTAGACATTTTTAGACATTTTTAGACATTTTTAGACATTTTTAGACATTTTTAGACATTTTTAGACATTTTTAGACATTTTTAGACATTTTTAGACATTTTTAGACATTTTTAGACATTTTTAGACATATTAATTTTTTTTAGACATTTTTAGACATAATTAGAATTTTTTTAGACATTTTTAGACATTAATTTTTTTTAGACATTTTTAGACATAACTAGAAATTTTTTAGACATTTTTAGACTTTTTTTGACATTTTTAGACATTTTTGGTATTTTTAGACATTTTTACACATTTTAGGCATTTTTAGGCATTTTTTTAGACATTTTTAGACATTTTAAAACATTTTAAAACATTTTAAAACATTTTAAAACATTTTTAGACATTTTTAGACATTTTTAGGCATTTTTAGACAAAAAAAAGTAAAAAAAAAGTCAAAAACAGTCTGAAAAAGTAAAAAAAGTCAAAAAAAGCTAAAAAAGTAAAAAAGGTCAAAAAATTCAAGAAAGTCAAAAAAGAAAGTAAAAAAAAAAGTAGAAAATAGACAAAAAAAGTCAAAAAAGTAAAAGTCAGAAAAGTAAAAGTCAAAAAAAGTCAAAAAAGTTAAAAAAAGTCAAAAAAGTAAAAAAAAGTCAAAAAAGTCAAAAAAAGTAAAAAGTCAAAAAATTAAAAATTCAAAAAAGTCAAAAATGTCGAAAAAGACCTTCCTCTAGGATAACTTGATTACTGGGACATAATAAGAGCCAACGGGTATGATCTGAACCACAGTATGGTGCTAACTTTTCAATGAAAACTACCTTCAGTTTACTTACCGCTGAAAACTAAATGTGGTAGATCAGGTTGTTGATTGAGGACGGTGTAGGGACCTTCTCAGTTTCGTTTCAGTGTCCCCAAGTCCCTATCAGTGCTTGGGATTGTACAGCGATACTAAATTTTTTCTAATTGACATGTATGTCGAATCTAGCTTTTGCTTTGTCTATAGCGATTTGTTCGAAAGATTCTTCAGAAAAATACTGTGCCATTGTACCTCGGCTTCTTTTTTTAGGTCTTTTTTGTCATTGCATAAATCATATTTCTTGCACCAACCTTCTATATCCCGTCAGTAATTTTTCTCGATCTCGTGTCAGTGTCCTTTTAGTCCCAAAATGTCTTCCTGAATAACTGCTATGAAGTTTCTCCAAAACACTTTGACATGTGATTTCGGTAGTAACAATAATTAGCGAACTATATGTACTCCATCGGGGCTATGTCTCTTTCGGTGAAATAGGCCATCGAGAAGATACAGTGAATCCCATTGAGTCCAGTAACCTTTAATAGTTCCACTATGTCTGGCTATCTCTTGCCAATTATGAGTCCTTCAAATTATTGTCTTTTTTCTAAGTTTTTCTCAGGCTTCCAAGAGTGATTTCATCTTCGTCATCCTCTAAATTGAAGACTAACTTCTTCAACTGGCTCCACTCGTTCTTCGAACCTTTTACAGTACCGGTATTGTCATTCTCAACAGAGTCGCCTGAAGGAAAGAATTTCTGATGGAAGAACGATATTGATATTGATCTTGGTTCAGATGAACGAAAGTCTAAACTGTGATAGAAAAACTGGTCTTTAATCTCCTATAGACTATACAGAAATTATTTTTTCTTAGGTACTAGGATTACAGGTAAGCAGAAGGAACTAGAAGATTCTTCAATAATATTTGTGTCTATCATATTTATTACTTCTTAAATTATCTTACTGATTTTCTAAATAACTTTTTAAATTCTTTTGCTGTTTTTCTGACTTGGTTTTAAGTTCTCTTGCTGTTGTGCTCGAATATTAAGCTGAAGTTTTCTTGAATTTGTAGCAAAACATTCATAACTTCCACATCTACTCCTTTTCTGCTTCCTCCTCCTTTCTGCGCCTTTCATTCTACTATTCTTCCTCCTTCCTGTGACTTTATATACAGATTAACTCTAAATAATTCGGAGCATAGCAATTTCTATTAGCCAAGTCGACCAGTACAAATTTCAACCGATAAAGCTCAGTTACGACATCTAAGAATAAATTGGGCCGCAGTAACGCTCTCCCACCATTAATGATTTGCTCCTTGTCTAACCCCTAAACGGTCCGCCCACTTCACCTTCTGCTTCTAAGCGAAAACAATGATTTTAGTATTGCATTGATAACGGTAGGATGTACTTAAAAGTTGTCTGTAACGACAGAAATTATTACGTTTTAATGTGTTGATGCGAAAATTTATTTGTTAACTTTTTTTTAAACAAATAATTTTTCTTTCCAAATTGTGTTTTGTGCTGTCTTTTTGCCGTAACGACGTTGAGAATAAAATAAAATAAAATTCCAAAAATAAAATAAAATTCCAAAAAATAAAAGAAAATTCTCAAAAATAAAATAAAATTCCTAAAAAATAAAACTTAATTCCAGAATAAACTTAACATGAAAACTCAAAAAAAAAACATTCTAAAATTATTAATGAATTAAAGGCTCAAATAATCCCCCTTGTTGTGCCAAACAATAGCCGAACCTATTATACAACGATAAACGTGTATCTCTTAATTGAGTTGGCGTAATGTTGGCACAATATTGAATTATTTTCGCTCTTAATTCATTTAAGTTTGTTGCCCGTTCAAAACCGTGCCGGTAAATTTTTCCTTTTAAAAAGCCCCAAAAGAAAAAATCATTCGGCGATAAGTCTGGTGATCTCGGAGGCCACTTGATTGTACCATTTGTTGCTATTAAGCGATCAGGGAACATTGTGCGCAGAAATTCGATAACTACCCGACAATTATGACTTGGACAGTCATATTGTTGAAACCAAATATCTCCCAAATTAACAGGGAGTTGCTGAAGTGCAGGAATAATTTGGGTTTGTAGTAGTTGCAGATATTTGATGCCGTTTAGGTTACCCTCAATAAAAAAAGGACCTATAACATGGTCACCTAATATCCCCGACCAAACATTAAGTTTCTGCGGATATTGTGTCCGAACAGGAATAGATAGGTGTTTA